CCTTCATAGCTCCATTCCAAGTCTATAAATGCTTTGTTTATTTTTTCTGTGTTCTCTGACTCTCCACCCTCATCCCCATTAAGACTGGCAGCTGCTCAGAGCCAAAGCCATATTTGCCTTTTGCACACCTGGATCCTTGGCAGATGAACAGTGTCTGGCACCTAGCCAGTGCCCAGTGAGCATTTGCTGAAGCATCTAAGAATGGCTGTAGAACTGATGGGGAACTTTTCCAGCTCTAGCAAGGATTGCCTTCAACACACAAAGTCGTTGTGTAAACAGAAGAGGAAACTATAGTAGGCATGGGTGAGGATGCGTGCTTCATGAGAGGGGTCTTCTGGAGAAGGAGAGGTTTGTTTTTTGTTTTTTGTTTTTTTTTTTTTAAAAAAAAAGAAAAAGAAAACTGCTGAAGAACCATCAGCTTGGTGACCTGGCAGTGAACAGGGGAACCCTGTGAAATGCTAATAGGTCATCTGAGAGGTACAAAGGAAGACCAGAAGCAAGTGGTTACTGACTGGGTCAGATCCTGAAAAATGCGCAAAGCTTTGGCCCCAAATATGAGACAAGCTATGGAGAGATAGTGTGTCAAAGGCCCAGGAGGGAATAAGAAGAAAACGATTTTCTTTGGGCAGAGCCAGTCTGAGGCTTGGTAAGAGAAAGCTCTGTTGACTAAAACTCCAATCAGAGGTAAATTTTCCTTGTAAACTGACACTTTAGCAAACCTGGGATCAGCTCCGTGGTGCAGCAGCAATGTGCTACTCAGGAGAAATCAGGGGCTAGCAGGTGGTGTAGTGGTTAAGGCACTGGATTCTTACATGGCCAACTGCAATTTGAGTCTGGACCTGGCAGCTTGCACTCACTCTCTCTCTTTCTCTCTCTCTCTCTCTCTCTCTCTCTCTCTCTCGTCACTTTGGTGAGCGTGCGTGTCCTGTGGCAACTTAAAATAATAAGGCACCAGCAGGTGGTGTGGTGGTTGGGGCTCTGGACTTGTGCATGGTCCACCACAGTTCCAGTCCTGGACCTGTTTGCTTGCATTCTCACTTTTCCCCTCTCTCTATTCCCATTTTCCTCTCTCTCTCTCTCTCTCTCTGTGTGTGTGTGTGTGTGTGTGTGTGTGTGTGTCTGGCAAACACATGTGTCCTATGTCAAATTTTAAAAATAATAATAAAATTAAATAATTATTTTGGAAAATAATTAATTAAAAATAAATAATTTTTTTAAAAAGAGAGCGAGCGAGAAATTGGATTGCATCTGGGAACCACTGTTTAAATCCCCAGCTAGGTCAGTGCAGGCACCCAGGATCCAATGAGCTAGAGGACTGGAGGAAGGGGTTGTGGCATGACCAGACCCTGAGGAGAGTCCTCTTCTCTCTCTGTCTTTCTCTCTTTCTTGCTCTCTCTGTCTCACATGCACATGCTCTATCATGAATTAGAAAAACAGAAAGAAGAAGAAAACCTTTGCCTTGGGCTTTGAGGGACCCGGATGTCTAGTGTCTGGTGAGATCATGGGATGTGAAGATCACTGATGAACTTCAGCAATTATCTCAATGCTTAAAACTAAAGTTATTGGGCCAGCCATGGCAGTACAGTGGAAACACAATGCTCCGTGATGCTGAAGACATATGGGAAGATCCTGGGTTTGCATCCCATGGTCTCTCTATGTGCGCTGAGTGTGTGGGTATGCCCATGATGCTGGCTGGCTGAGCCTGGAGGTCATGATAGCAGAGTGAAAACCCTGTTGGAGGTCATGCTCTTTCTCTTTCTCTCTCAATAAGTCAAAAAAAAATGCTGAGGTTATTGGGAACCAGCAGTTAGTGTAATGGTATGTCGCTGGACTCCCACATAGTTGACCGCGGTTCGCGTCCCGGACCCGGTGGCTTAAAACTTAAAACTCACGCCGGGCGCGTGTGTGTGTGTGTGTACCCAAGATCCCGAGAGGAGAATGGAGGAGAAGGGATTGCGGCGTGACCATCCCCCCTGGGGGGTGATTTCTCGCTTTCTGTCTCTATGTCTCTGTCTGGTGAGTGCACACGCCCTATAGTGAAAACCTCTCCAAAAAAAGAAAAAAAATGCTGAGGTTATCTGCTCTCTGATCTTATTTTGGTAATAGTTACAACACAGCCATTGTTCGTTGAATTGTGGAAACAAAAGCTGTATGGACTGCTTATTGGTGTGTGTCACTTGCCCCACTAGAACTGTGTTGGGCAGGTATATGTGAGGTGTATGTGGTCTACACCCCCTTGGAACAGTGTCTCTGCTGCTGGAACCCCCTAGAGGCTAGCTCTGCTGACCCCATTTGAACTGCCACACAAGTTCCCAGAATGTGTGTGTTTATATGTGGTGTGGGGAGTGCCTCCCTTTGCTATCTCTCAACTGGAGACAATATCAAGATTTTAGAATTATTGTGAGGATTAAGTGAGATAATATAACAAAGGGCTTAGCACCCTATGTGCGTGTGTCCTAGAACACACAAAAATAAATAGCTGCTATCGTAAGTGTAAGTTAAACAGACAGTGTACTACTTTAAAATTTTTATATTCCATAACTAGAACTTACCCACTGCAAGTAAGGCAGCAAGTGCTATAACCACTTTGGAAAACTATTTTGTAGTATCTATTAAAGTGAAAGATGTTCCTATACTATGACTCAGCAATTCTGCTCCTAGGTATATATCCAAAAGAAGTAAATGGCCACCAAAGGGCATGTATAATACTACTAACAGCTGTTTTAGTCATAATAGCACAAAACTAAAAACAACCCAAATGTTCATTAAGCAAAATGGCTAAATCATGGTGTATTAATAATGAAATATGCGTAATGGTGAAGATGAGAGAATTCTATCAATTCACAATAATATGGATGGTTTTCACAAGGATGATGTTGAGTGAAAGAAGCCAGATGCAAAAGAGCACACACTGCATGATCCCGTTTATTTAAAAAAATCTCAAAAATAAACCAAACCTATCTATAATGCTACAAGTCAGAAGAGTGGTGGTTATAGTGTGGGGAATGGATGGTGGCTGGGAAGAGCCATATGGGGGACTTCTGGGGTAATGACAATGCTCTCTCTTCATCTAGATGATAGTTATATAAAACCATTTAATTTATGGCTTTGCACTTTTTTTGTATGTATGTTACATGTGGTAGGTTACTTCATTGACCCGAATTCTTTGTTCTCTGTTTCATACACCTTCCTACCTTGTCAATGTTGGACTTGCCCATTTGACTTGCTTTGGCCAAGAGGACCTAAGTAGGTATGACATGGATGAGAGACAGGAAGTGTGTTCAAGCAGCTTGACTTTGGCCACTTGGCCTTTGTCCAGACTTGTGACCAAAAAATACCTTAGAGAGCTACTGCTCTCTTGGCCTGATTCCCAGAATGCACATGGAACAGACTGAAGCACACCTAGATCCTAGAGCCTAAAGTAAGGTTTAGCCCATTTAAGTTGCAGCTAAATGTGATGGGGAAAGAAAAATGGTTGTGTTAAGCCACTAAATGTTGATGTATTTTGTTATGCAGCATTACTGAGTCAATAGCTATTATTATTATTCCAGAAAAAGTATTTTAAGATCTTATGCTTCACCTTTATAATAGTTATATTTTTCTTTTCCGCAAAGAGAGTGTGTGTGCTTACAAGAGAGAAAGAGAGAGAGAGAAAGAGAAAGTATAATAGCACCCTCTATGGGGGATGGTGTTGTAATCCCTTCTGCATCTCTTCCTCCTTTTAGGATTTTGAGCACATATGTATATGTGCCCAGCATGTTTTTCAAGCCTCTAGGTTGGGGACACGAACCATGCATTTGGTCATGTGGGATCCCGCCACCTTAACCACCATGCCCCCTGCTGGCCCAATAGTCACATTTTTAATTTAAAGTTACCAGCACCCATCTTCAGCACTTATAAGGCCTTGTTCATATTACACAAAATCAAATAAACCTTAATTTTCTTGTCTATAAAATAAGGATGATGGGGACTTCACAATATTCTTGGGAAAGTTTACTGAGCCAGTAGATCTAAAAGCACCCTGTAAACTGCAAAACTTAATTTGCAAGTGATGAATGAGGAGGGAGCCACTGAGTAGGAGAAGGGAGAGACTCCAGACCACAAGCCTGGCTCTCTTGTACCCATGAAAAGAGCTTCTTCCCAACAAAAGCTCTGGGAGAAAAGAATCAGAGGGTTCAGATGGAGGCACGGTATTAAAGCGCAATGCTCAGAGAGGCTGATCCACAAGTGTGGGTGCCAGGCTTGTTTCCAGAGACCTCCCTGAGTATGCTCAGTGCATTACCGCCATGATCCAGGGGCTGGCTGAGGCTGGGATGGATCCTGGTGTCAAGACCCTGTTAGGAGTGTCGTCTCTCTGGCTCTCTCTCTCTGTCTTTATTGTTCATGGAGAAAATAAATGAATTAAGTAAATGCATTATAAAAGGCTCAACAGTGTGCTGGCCAGGTCCAGGGACACTGCAGCAATGCCTCCTCTCCAACAGCTGGGGATGCTAAGGTTACTATCACCACAGTCCAGTTCAGAGGCCATTCTTGGGACCATTTCACTGCCCACCTGGTTGGAGGGTCTCAGAAAAAATACAGGCTTCCTTCCTACCACACTAGTCTTCTTACTCCTTCCTCTGCCTGCTCCTCTCCTTCCTGACCCCTGAGACTGGCCAGCTGCCTGGCCTAAGACTGGCTTCTCTAACTGATAGAGTCCTCACTGTCACGGTGGTGAGAGCTACCACAGGAAAGGAGATCCTTGGACAAAGCTACATACTTTCTTTAGAGTGCAAGTATCGAGTACCCATTTCCACTAATTCAACAGAAAACAGCAGCCCGCAAGGCAGAGGCTGGGGTGGGGTTCACAGCAATCCTTACATGGGTGGGGTGGAGGATTTCTATTGCTGAGGTGAACAATCACTGCTCATTCTTTGCACACAGCCTCCATGTGGCCCTCCCTGAAGCAATCTCTGCCCCCATTCTCCAGTTCCAAGTTGATTCTGTAGCTGTGACCTTACCTCAGTATTCCGAAGGCCATTCTGTTTCTGGGTCAGAGGACCTGAGCTGAGGCTCTGGGGATTAGGGCACTGGGTCCCACAACTCGTCTTCTTCTCTGGGTTGGATGTTCCACTTTGGGCTGCAGATCGGGGCACGCCATTGGCGGACAATCCATCTTCCAGTGCACCTGTGGGAGTTAAGCAGAGGATACCAGAAGCTTCCACGTGACAGTTATTGCAAACAATTTCAGACTTGTGGAGAAAAAAAAGAGTCAAAAATAAAAAAAAAAATCACTAGAATACCCCCTCCGCCCATACAGAGCTACCCTGTTCTATAAGAACATGTGTGGTTTTTTATAATAATTTGATTTTTAAATTTATTCACTTATTTGTTTTAATTTGACCAGAGAGAGAGAGAGAGGAGGGGGGAGAGAAAGTGAGAAAGCAAGCCTCCAGGTCCGGGACTTGAACTGTGGTCGGCCATGTGGGAGTGTCCAGCACCTTAACCACCATGCCACCTGCTGGTCCCCTAAAAATGAGATTTTTAAAAAATTTCAACCTGAAATCTTCACTTAAAAGGCATTGATGCTGTTTTTCCCATATGATTAAATACTCTGCCATATTATTTTCCACATGTCTGCCATCGTATGGATGTATCACCATTTCTGAAAAACTTGCTCCCTTTAATTAGGTATTTATTTTCATTATTTCATAATAAATGTTGCTGTGATGAAACTCCTTGTAACAAAAACTTTATTTTTAATTACTTCCTTGTTATAAATTCTTAGAAGTAAGAGTACTGGCTCAAAAGTTATACAGAGATGTTTGCATAATTCCATCTCAAAATAATGGACTAAGCATATGTGCCTCCCATAACAAATGCCAAGAAATGATAGAAGTAGTTTAAATAAATAGCCTCCCTAAAAATAAGAAGGATTACACCAAGGAATTCATGAAGGACAAACAGAGAAAAGGTGGCTTGGACGCATTCAAGACAGCACCAAGTAGGATTCCAGGAGACAGAGGCTCTGCAACAGACACAGGGAGGCCAGGGGCACCCAGGTAGGTCAGCGATCCTGCTCCTCCACCAGCTGAGACCAGGCAGCACTGGTAGAGGAGTCTGTGAGGGGACTGACTCAGAGAGAAGACCAATGCTCTTAGGGACCAGTGATATTTGAGAGAAAGGAAACCCAGGCCAAGAAGACTGGCTTTCCCAAAGCAGTGCCAAGAGTTATAGTTTCCATTCCTGCCCTCCAAGTGGGCTTCTCAAATACATGCAGCTGATAGTCTAGCGGGAAATTGCAGTTGTAAAAATAAGTACAAAAACATAGGCTGGCCCCATAGCCTAATGGTGAAGGGAGCCAGATCTCAGTTTGAATTCTGACCTAGGTGGCTTAAAAAACACTCTGGGCACATGTGAGTGTACATGTGTGCCCGGAATCCTGGCAGGATGGAGATAGGGAGGAGAAGAGATTGTGGCATGACTATTCCCCCATTGGAAGGTGCTTTCTCCTCTGTCTTTCTGTCTCTCTCTATAGTGAGTGCATGTGCCCTCTGACAATTATAAAAAAAGGTCCGAAAACATGAATAAGCAAACATTTGGGGCAGGTCAATATCATGAAAGATGGACAGCAAACTACAGCAGAGACCTTAAAGGAATGCAGTGTGCAGAGTAAGTGTAGTCTACTCAGAAAAATGAAGGAAGATGATATAACTATAACATGAGGACAGGGTGGCCCAAACAGATTAAATTAGAGATATGTGAAATCATCATCTTAAATGAGGAAAGGAAAAAACCTCAATAGGGAAACTGAATAGCAGGATAAACATAGCTGCAGAACGATGTAATGGGCTAGATGGCAAAGCCACAAATTCTTCTGGAAAAACACAAAGGGGAGAGTGAGGTATGAAAAACATGCCAGGAAACACAGGCTAGAATTCCAGAAGTTACTACCTTAATCGAATAGGAGTTTTAGAAAGAGCAGATTTAGAAGACTGAGAGGACGCAATATACACAGCAATAATGCATAAGGATTTCTTAGAAGTGAAGAAAGATAAGAAAACTCAATTTGAAGTAGCCTACTGTGTACTTGGCAGTTCCTAACAAGAGAAAGCTAACCTAGACAGGGCTTACTGGCCTTTCAGAACATCAGTGACAACAAAAGAGGTTCAGAAAAGTCAAGAATGAGAATGACACCAGCTTTTCATCAGCAATCCTCATATGTAAGAAGACTAAGGAACAATGTCTTCAGGATTTCAAAGATGATACACGGTCCTAAGTCTTTTCCAATGTATTTCCAAAATTATCCCCTTAAATCTTTTTCCCTGTTGCCCTCTGCCAACAGTATAGGAAATAGCAAACCTTCACAAATACTGAAACTTTTCTTTTTTGTTTTTCATCTTTGCCAATTTAAGAAGCAAAATAAAGTATCCCATTGCTTGGATTTATGCTTCTTAATTTAAATTTACTAGAGATATTATGCTCTTTAGATGCCTATTGGCTAATTGTAAAGGTTTGTTCAAATTGTCAAGTCTTTTGTCTATCTTTCCTTTGGGGTATTTGCCTGGGCTTGCTTTTAATCAAACTTCAAGAAAACAAATGAAATTCTTTCCCTGGGTTAAGCAACGACTTGTCATGCAGATGCAGCCAGAGCACAGGGTGGTATGCTAAGGGCAGGAGAGGTGATGGGCTGAGTGAACACAGGCCAAGGCAGAGACTCGGCTTACCTAAGCCTGAGGCAGAACTGCCTTCAGCCTTTGGGGCTACTGAGTGGGATTCAAGGCTAGCAATACTGTCATGGCTGTTTACCATGACGTGCCATACAAATACTGCTATTCTCTGAGTGTGTCATGACTCAGAATCTAGGTTAAAGGTGATTAGAGGCCCCTTCAAGCCATCTGCTAAATGCACCATGGTGCTGCCAACCCGGGTGGGGATGGCCAACACTTTGTCCTATCCTGAGACACTTCAAGATGCATTCCGAACCCTCTAAGTCCATGGCCAGGCCTGGAGGACAGGAAACACAGTCTCTTCTCTCCATCCCCAACACAGTCCAAGGTGGCAAGGGAGGCCCAAGGCACTGGGCCATGAGCAGGTAACAGAGAACACAACCCGGGGAGACACAAAGGCAGTAGCCAATGGGACATGAGCCAGAGCAATAACCCCCCATCACACGTTCCATTGACCTACTGGATTTACTTACAAAATACACATTTAAAGATGAAGTTCTCAAGAATGCCAAGATGGTACCTGCAGAGCATTCGATCCTAAGTACAGGGCCCTTTATGACACCAGTCCCTCCTTTCCCCAGTATCTTTACTGACCCTCAGGGCTTCAAGACACAGTTTGAAAGTCTGTCTTTTGGCCCATGGTTGCTCATTAGTGGCTAAACAAAAATGAGAACTCTTAACCTCCTAATCTAGGGACTTTCTCACCTGTTAAATGGGAATAACAACTACTATTTCATAGGACTATTGCAAGAATTAAATGAGATATAAATAGAGAAGTTCTAACAGCCTCATACTTCACACTCACTCATGGCCTAACACTAGCCACTTTGTCTCCTCCCATGGTCCTCTCCATTAACCACATTAGGTACATTCTTCACTGAGGAGCTACTCAGACAGCTAAGACCTAAACCACTGTCCAGATAATTAAGCAGAGGAGCTCTGATGACAGCAAAGCTATAGGCCCAGCTTGGGAATTGGCATTACCAAACAGTGAGTAGGGGTCATGGGCTCAGTATGATCAGAAGGTAACCCCCAAGGGCTCAGGCATGGGTCACTTACTTCTGCCTGCAACAAACCAAGTGTTTTTGCTGCAAAGATTAAATTGAATGTGTATTTTCTAGTTCCAAAAAGTAGTCTCAATCTAAAACTAGTAAAATACAGAAAAGCACAAAGGAAAAATTATGTTTACCTCCTTACCCAAACATATGCCTTATATGGAAGATTACTATATATCATCCCAAAATACGCTACTTTGGCATACAGAAAAACCAGATTGAGAAGAACCAGATAGGAAAAAGGCTCTCTCTCTGCCCCATTTACCTAAAAGTAGGACATAAATTTATAAAGGTGTCCCTCCTCCCCCTCTATCAGGAAGGACAAAGGTTGATCACTGAAGACAACTTCAGACCCTTATCAAATTGAAGATGGCAGCAGAGGAGCAAGCTTCACTAACTAGCCTTTATATATATA